CCTGAACTGCCTGCTCCGCCATGGCTTCCTAGTCTGCCTGCTCCGCTATGGCTTCTTAGTCTGCCTGCTCCACCATGGCTTCTTAGTCTGCCTGCTCCACCATGGCGCCCCGAACTCTCTGCTCCACCATGGCCCCTGAGCTCCCTGTGGCACCCTGGACTGCCTGATCCACCCTGGAGGTATTCCCCGTGTCCCAGTCCTGCACCAGCCTCCAGGGTGCCCATCCCCCCCCCAGTAATGTCAGACTCTGTTCCGTGTTTTGTATATGTCTACCCTTGCTACGTTTGTTTTCCTTGTTCCCTGGATGTTATTAAAATCTATGTTTGAATTCCACTCCTCGTCTCCTTGCTCCTTTGTCTCCGTGCTCCTCACAGTAGCGAATCGTGACAATACCATTGTGTTATTAATTTATTTAACATTATTTAAAAAGTGTTTATAAGCATTCATTTTTGTGCAGTATCAAATTATTAAGAAACACTAAATATTAGCATCATCAGTACAAGTTACTCAAATTGTGGTATTTGGTATATTCGGTTTTGTGGGTTCTTTTAGTGGGGTGGTTCGGCTCTCTACAAACACGAATTTAAACAACAGCATTTGTGCTGTAGTATTTGTGATCAAATACAGCAGTATTTGTGATAAAACTGATGGAAAAGTAAACCAGACTGCTTGTTGAAAATACTTCTTGGTATAGGCGGTTTAGTTTACACTGTTTAGCCTTTATTAACAAATGCAATTTAAATCAGTTCATGTGAATTAATATAAACAATTCCAGCAAAAAAAAACATTAAAAAACAGAGTGGCAGCACTTTTCATCCCCTAAATTCATAACTTAATTTAAACGCTAGTTTAAACATGAATTGAGTGAACAGTGAACAATACATGACAGACGTTGATTAGTTTTAAAATGTCATTGTAGCAGCTGCGGTTTTGATGCTCGCGGTAGCGAGAGCTGCAGAAGAGTCAATCTTTGGTAAGTTTGATGTTAATAACCAACTTTCAACCATTATGACACATTTCTTTTTTTTTTCCATCCAACGTATGTAATTAATTTTCTTCAAAACATCACATTGTGTTACAAACAAAATAGAGGCTCCATCCAAAGATCATAAATATATCTGTTGAGTTCATCAATCAGGAAAGAGTGACTAATGGGTTTGTACAAAACAGCATCTGATCGGTTCAGCTCTTTATTTATAACAGCTGTTTCCATTACATGAAGAACGCTCTTGTGAGAAGAGACATGAATATTGCTGCAAAATATAACCATCCTCGTATAATACGAAATACAGTATTCCTTTTTAACCTTCGCCTGCTATTATGTCAATCATTAAAATCAGGACCTTCCAAGGACCTCATATTTTCCATGGCTTTGATTTTTTCCCCCCTCCCGGCGATAATCTTGATTCCTGTTCGACCACAGATAGATTCTAATAGGAAATGATGCCTATGAAGAGTAAAACACACAGGACGTGGCTGTTTGTGTTGGTCTGTCTCCCAGCAGAGTTTAGTAGTTCACATTACCCCTGACCACAGAGCACAGCAAAGTGAGTTAGCTGCTTCTAGAAGTGGCAAAGGCACTTTTGTGCGGTTCATTCATATCTGTTGTAGCCTTGTCGAGGTAAACCCTATTTCATAGTGTATCGCCATTATAAACCTATTTGTTCCACACTGCCCACCGAGTGAACATAAATCACATGCAGTCAATAAAAACATCAACATGTGAGAGAACATACGCCTAGCGAGGCTGAGCGCATTTCTGAATACCTATTGCTTGTTTTTAATGTGCCAGCTGTTAATTCAAGAAAACCGCTCATTAGGACATTATTCAAAACAACTCTTTAAATGATTCACTAGAATGATGCAATGTTTCCAGCAGGGGGTACAAAAGCAGATTGACGGCAGGTAGACCATTTTGGAAACCATATAGCAGATTTTGATTTAACAGTTTATTGTAAAAATATTGAACTTGCATATGCTACATATTCCAACTCCATATGATTTCCATCAGTCATTCATACACAAATTTCAAAACGGACTGTTAGCAAACATCCCACACGGGAACATAAAAAATACAAACCGAGGAAATGCTATTGTTTATCATGCAGGATGTCAGTGAGACTAGAATATTCTCCGACTTCGGTTCGACTTATTTATCTTTCATCCTTTCAAAAGAAACTTCTTACAAACACTTCGATGGCAGTCAACAGAAAGTTGGCGACTCAAATATGAAGCGATTTAAAATGCCATTGATAAGCTAAGGGAACAGATATCTTATCTGAAGCATACATGGGCCATATGGTGCCATGGCCACTGCCGCCTGTTGCTGGCATAACAATAGCCCGGCCTGGACAGCGAACGGCGGACACGGTATTAGCTTGGATTCCCTGAGCAGTAAACACAAGAGCGTATGTTCATATTTGCATTTTTTTCCCTTACAGGTGCAGAAAGGGTCTAAATCAGATGTCTGCTTGAGCACAACACTATTTGCCTTCTACAATTCAACAGCCTCACACACACTCCTCCCCGGCTCAGCAACAGGAAAAACAATAGGTTCTCTCTGTGCGCTCCCATTCCCCCACAATCCTCCATTCCCAGAGGTAACCCAATCCACTATGTCTGAGCAATGCACCTATTCTCTTCTCATTTCACAACTGAAAGACTGCTTTCTTCCTGAGCCACGCTGGAGAGCACCACTGAAACAGAAAGTATTGAAATTAATGTTTTTTCCCTCCTGATTCAAATTCATTATTTATGGTCAGTGACATGCGCTTTTCCTTAACAGAGATTGTAGCTCTATTATTGAAAAGGGCAATGCGGTGCTTTTGGAAACTAAACACAGCTTCAAACTGCCTCATTTGAAAAGGAAGCAGTAGGAAAATCAGCTTCAAAAGTTTTCTCGGTTGTATTCTGGGCATTTAAAATTCCATTATATGTAATAATATATACTCAAAGCACATTTTATATCTACACAAATAATGAAAGGTGCAGTATGTGAAATGAAGATTGCATGCATATATCTATCACTGCTGTGCAAAATGATTTGAGCCACATTTAAAGTTCATAGAGAATCTATTTCTCATTCATAAATAATAATATATTAATAACACAGTAATGGCACATAACTTACAACACAATCACTCTGCTATGCCTCCAAACAGCACACTAAACTAGAGGTTAAGTTTGAAACTATTTAATCACTGCATCAAAAAATATTTTTACTCCGATTGCATGGTTTCTTTTTTACATGCCATCGGATGTAGCTAATGAGTACTTTGATAAGGTTCCTCTGTTTTCGAACCATCTGATCAAGAGTCAGATGTTCGACATCAAGTGATGGGTTCAGTGCGAGACAGTGTTTCATTCTCTCACTTGAAAATGTCAAGAAAGCGTGTATTCAACAGGTCTATGCGTGAGCACAAAGCACTTATTGCTATGCCTATTTTACACAACAAGCAGATTTGCTTCTCATCGCTGTGATACTTTATGTTAGGGGTTACATCTGACAGAAGTCAATCTGTTTACTTTAGTACATGATAATGGCCCAGTTAGAGGACACAAACAACGCATTGTGTCGCTCGGACCCTTCTTTATAAAAGGGCCAATGTGAAATATAAGACAATAATTAACTGCAAGAAAAGAGGTCTTTTCCCCAAAACACACAATAGTGGAACTTGTTTCCTGTTGAGAATTAAAGTCCAGAACAGGGTAAGGGGCAGCAGTGTTAAAGCTTTTGCATTAGAAAGACAAGAAATACATAATAAAACAGCTACTGTTCTTACAGTACACTGTAAAACATGAAAAAGTGCAGTTGATACCTTAAGCTATTTCTACCTGCACTGTATCAGTTTGTTTCCATCCATTCACAATCATTTTTGTCATGTCTACAAAGTATGTAGTGAACTCAAATTTCATTAAAGGTGACATTTAAATTGGTCAAAAATGTCAAATGGATTGCAGACTTTGGCATCACTGATTTACTTAGTGCTATAAAATGTTTTTAGTTTCCACCAAAATAAGTTTCTACAGTTAAAACTGTAATAAATCATTAGGGCTCTAATTTAAAGAAGCTTTCACAAGCTTTCTGGTGACTAATAATAGTACAGTTTAATTACAACAGTAATAACAGTAAGGTTATATAATGGATGAATCATAATTAGCTTGATTATACAGAATTCATACGCTAAAAGTGAAACTCACAGCTCGTTTTAGTTTGAGGTTTTTGCAGCTGGAGGTGTGAATGAGGAACAGACGCATATGTGATTTCATAATGATTTAATTCACAAAAGGACAGTGAAACGGTTAAAAACACTGTAGAATAATAATCTTTACGCCATTAGCTAAAAGACTGGATAGTTAGTGGAGTTGGTAAAGCTAGTCACTGATGAAGTGCTAAGCTAAGCTACGCCGTCCCGCTGTTACTATCGTTACGTTCATAGTTTCGTTCCTTGTGATGAAACAGCGTTTCTAAATAAGTGGCTTTAAAACACACACGGTAACTGACAAACTGTGTTTTAACCTGCATTGTCGTTTATAAAGTCCAGATACGACGCGCCAGAAGCACGACGTTACTCCAGAAGAAACAGGGCGGGCAAATCCCAACAAAGGAAATGACAGAGGAATAGCAGCCAGATTCTCCCATGTAATCTTTCTGAAACAAGCTGATACATTAAAACAATGTCAACAACGGCTAGAATTGTATCTAGCAGCTTTGCACAAATAAAAGGGATACTTTTACAATTGCACAACAACAGTGAAGTAAAGTTTCTCCAGAGTAACCAAGTCTGGGAAGTTCAGTGCGAAGCACGCAGGGTTGCTGTTGTTGTTTTTAAATTAAAAGACACAAATATTAAAGCTCACGGATGTGATGTATTTTCCGTGTCGTTCTCTGTGTGTTACAGTAAATAACGAAGCGACTACTGTGATATAACTCAATAAAGATGCCAAGAGTTTACGTAAGTCGGTTAAATAAAGAGAAGAAAAGTCAAATGTGTACTTACGGGTGGGATGTGAACAGAAGATGGTGAATAAACGCCAAAGATACGCGAGCAACAAGTCTCTCCGCGCTATATTTGTGCTCCGCTCCGAAATGTGCGGCGTAGCCAACTATGGAGGAGAAAACAGCAACATTTGGACCCGTCATCTTGTCCAAAATTCTTTTCATGCAATAATCAATGTCCAAAAAAAAATGTTCCCCCAAAACGACGCGTATTGTTTCTAGGTGTAAATGTACAGGACTTACTGCAGAGCACGAGCGCGCGAGGTCAGCTTCTTTAGCAAAAATTTGAAAAATGTCAAAGATTTTCGTGCTATGTCAGACTGAGTCAGTCAACAAAGTGAAAGCACCCTGTTGCTGCTGCAGCGTCGAACTAAATCCCATTGAAAAAATATACTTTGAGCCCGACCCCTCTTGTTACATGCCTATCAATAGCCATAATCGCGCAAAACAGTTTTGCATTTGCTCGTCTGCTTTAACTTGATCCATAAAATCGTTTGCTCTTAAGCCGTCAAGGGCTAATTACCTTAAAACTTACCTTAACGTCCGCTTTATTTATATCAAAATTTAAGTTCGGCCCCTTTGTTTTGTTCTAGTGTGGGTTTGTATAGTTTTTTGCAAACTGTGTAAAGTTATTCTTGTGTTTTGGGGCCGGCCGGGAATGTGAACGGGAATCTCCGCCGCACCGATAGAGATGCGAAGAATGCTCGGAATGAGAGCAGGAATGAAATGAACGCGAGCCGCGTCGAGTTTGCAGCAGGGCGGAGCCAGAGGGTGGCGTCATCCCGCAGCTTCTCCCACATCCATGGGGATGACCTCACAGGACACGTCCAAGCCGTCCTCCAATGGGAGACAGCGCTGGCTTGTTTATACTTTCTTCTAACCCACTTGTTTGCAACCTATTGATTCGGATGGATGTAATAATGGCTCGCTGTCTTTACTGTAGGCTATATGCCTTTATTTAGGTTAAATGAATATAAGAAAACAGTTCATCATATTAAACTAATTAATAACATAATTCTAAAAATGTACAATTATTGTATAAATAGCCTATATAACATTTATCACAGTACTTTTATTAGACGTGGCATCAATGGCCTGTGGCCCATTCTCCAATTGGAGAGGCAGATGCTTATGGGCACTGGTGCCATCTACTTATACAGCATGTTTGGAAGACCACAGACAATAGATTAGATTAAAATATTTAAACACCTGTGAGTTATCAGCATAACAACACAAACAGTAATAAAGTGTGGCACATGCATATGATTTATTTATACAAATACAATAAAAACAGCAATATTGTGAAATATTACAATTTAAAATGTTTTTTAATTTAAAGTAATATATATTTATTTTATTCATTATTTTTAATGTATTCATATGTATTAAAATACATATAAATATAAGCATATTCAAATATATGATGTTATAATTTATTTCTGTGATAGCGAAGTTGAATTTTCAGTAGTCATTCTTCAGTGTCACATGATGCTCAATTGTGTTCAATTGTTTTTGGTGCTAAATTATTAATAATGTTTCTTATTATTATCATCGTCAATGTTAAAAACCGTTTTTGCTGCTTAATATTTAGTTGGAAACTGTGATACTTTTTTTCCAGAATTCTCTGATGAACAGAAAGCTCAAAAGAAAAGCATTTATTTGATTTGATCAATTTAAAGCATCCTTTCTAAATGAAAGTATACATTTCTTATGCTTCTTCTTTTAAATCTTATGTACCCCAAACTTTTGAATGGTAGTGTATTGCAGCTTCCACTAAAATATTTAGCAGCACTATTGTTGTCAACATTGATAATAATAAGACATTTGTGTTGAGCACCAAATCAGCATATTAGAATGATTTCAGAAAGACTGGTGATAAAAAATTTATTTTTGAATTACATTTGAAAATATATCAAAATAGGTAATAGCTACTTTAATAATTGTAATAATATTTCAGAATATTACTGTTTTTTCTGTATTTTTTTTATTTATTTATTTTTTTCAAAAACATTAAAAAATATATATTTTGACTTGTAGTGTATTTTTGGGATTGGGGGACCAAAAGTAATAATTGCACTTCACAATGTATATGCATTTACGGTTTATACTGTTCATGTGATTCACACCTTTTTAAGTGTCACTGTGGATGTTGTCAGCAATCCATTAGATCCTCTCTGAGATTCGCAGGCTTCACGCCAAAGTAACACCATAAAAGTACAACGTACATAAAATAGCCTCCTTGAAGCCCCTAAAGTTTAATTACTAGTGAATAATGACTTTTGCTTAAGTGCAGCGCTTCCCTTTCCCCCGCTATATCTGCAATATCAGCACCACGTCTGCTTTCCAAGGCTGTCTTATCTTATCTGCTGCTTCTCATCCTCGCGAATGGTGTCTGTTCCTTCAAAACCAAACTATTAAGCATCAAAAGGGAAGGCTTATCTATGCAAATCCAGCTAGCCCTGGAGGAGCCAGCCTGCCCCTTCGGCTCGGTGCAGAGCTCCAGCACCTGAGTTCAGTCACAGCAGTGATTCATTCACCGTCATGGGTCATCTGCCAGAAGGGTTTCACAAGCTCCTTGTTAAACATTAGCTCCGTGTATCCAGGAAGCCTCAGCGAAGCATCCCGGCATAATAGAGGACTGTAAATGGCTTCATAGCCTTACATCAGAGCCTGTTTTCATTGCCTTATCTAAGAGCTGAGCTGCCCTAACAGATTGGATTGGTGGAAAGCAGCCATATGAAAATCCCTCCATGTCTGTGAACCCAGGTGGAAATGTCGTTCGGGAAAAACAATGCCAAAGCAAATGGCTACCGTTAAACACAGAAGGCGTACTGTAGGCCTTTGAGGCGCCGCGCTCAGCTAGCAACATTAAAGGCCGCGTTTGGCTCTTTGAGGAACAAGTACATCAGTCAATAATGCATTTACAGATTTTTGGCAACACAAAATCCAAGTAAATCAATGGCGCTGTTGGCTAAAGTAGCTTTAAATCGTCTCGCCGTAGTGCAGAACGTGGATCTGCGGATGTCACAGACAATTTAAGAATCACACACGGCCTGTAAACGTATGGATGAGCTTACATTTTTCACGATGGCACGGTTGAGGTGCACACAGATAAAATGATAAAGTGGCTCATTTGAGAAACCAATAAGCACTCCAGCTTCATGCAGCATTCTGCACTCTGATTCAATCAATTTCATACAAGGTACAATTGAGCAATATTCTCGCAATCCCTACCAATGCCCGAGGCTGATCATTCAACCCGCAGTTTGATGTATTACAAACAATATGAGAACTTACACAATTCGGCGGAGCCTTGCCCTCTTTAAGAAACTACGTTATGCATGTGATGACTCACTATAACACTGAGTTTGTAAACTTACACCTGACGTTTGTAATAAAAAGACACGATTATTCAGTGGCTCAACCTAAGAATATTATTAGATAAACAATTATCTAATACTGCCGTCTAATATTTTGGTAGTGGATCACACCGGCAGAGACCCTCAGGCAAAAAAAGAGGGAGCCGTGGACAAATCAGAGGCTGGATGATGTTTACCCTAAAACACACTCTCAGGTGTCTACCTCCATGTGTCACATACACTTAACACACACAGACACACACACACACACACGCAGGCCTCTCCATATGCTCAAACAGCCAGTGCACACAAACAGAGCTCACCTGAATTAACACTGGGTGTGGCTAGAGAACAAAGCGCCTGATGCACAGCGGAAACCTGAGAGTGCCTGTGTCAGAGAGGAGCTGCTGGTAAAGCAGGAGTAAATAACATGCTAAACACAGGACATTCAATGCAGATTCTGCTTTTCATAAAAATGGATGTAGCTGTTCAAATAAAGCAGTTAAATTGCTTCTCTGTTTAAACATGGACGCATTTTGGAAGAAGTACCTAAATTAGATTTTTACGATTTCTGAAGTAAACATGAACTGTGCTTTCCTGTACAAAACTCTGCACCATAATTCCAGGGTGTCTTTTTTAGCATGTTGCTATGCAGTTTCGATAGGATGTTTGGGATAGTTGCTTAGTCTCTACACTGAAAAAAAAAATCAAAACTCTAATTATTCTAATTTGTTACAGCCAATGTTTTAGTTCTTTTCAAATTATATTTATGTTTTGATTAAAACTTAATTTTTTATTTAATATTGATAAAAACTTTTCCCAAAGAAAAAAAAAAGATTAATACAAAGTAAAAAAGGTTAACATACTGTACCTTTCTTAAGGCATGATATATATTTTCTTCAGACATACACCAAAATGTTACTCAACATAAGTCAATATAACAATTTTGGGGATTTTTACAACTTGATTTCACCATAAACAAAAGCTAAATAAACTAAAATGTGAAAGTAGAAACAGATCTAAAATAAACAAGCGATTTATTTCCCAGCCGTTTACCTTTACAGACATAACCGACTGTTTTTGTAACTCATGTATGTTTTTAACGTAAACTTGTGTGTGAATGAGAACTTAGTTTAGTACTCACATGCTGTGACAGCCGCTTTCTGTCCGTGTGCTTCGGATGTGTGCACTCAGAAAACCTTTTATCTGAAGTTTAAACTCATATGGTTTAAAACGCATGATTTCAGCGCGATAAACATGATAATCGGAACCTAAACAGATTTTTTTAGCAGATACGAGCTGTAAAGGCAGCTCTATTCTGGAAAAGGGGGTGGGGAGCAGCAGCTCATTTGCATTTAAATAGCCCGAAAAACAGCTTGTTTCTGCTTCCACTCAAAATAGGCATTTTCAAAATGATATAACAAATGATCTGTGGAGTATTTTGAGCTGAAACTTCACAGACACATTCTGGGGACACCAGAGACTTATATTACATATTGTAAAAAGGGGCATAATATGTCACCTTTAAAGATTTTGTTAATCAATGTTTCATTTAGTTTACTTATTACACACAAAAACAGACAAACTTGGACTTTAATTTTTATTATGATGTCTTTCAAAAACATGCATCATATTTTCAGTTATTTACAAAAACAAAACAGATCAATAAAACAGAAAAATGAATAAAACCACACTTTTAAAAATGCACTTTGAATAAATGACATTGTCATCTCACTTTTGTCAGTGTAGGTTGAGTTTACATGCACATTAATAATTTCAGTCTATAATTAGTTTTTAAAATGTAATGCAAGTGCTCAAGTATGACTAAAATCCCACCAGTCCAGTTTTCCTGAAGTTGGGTGTTGATATTAATTTGTGCACCTGCTCTGGGACACTTCCCTTTGGCTTAATATATTTACTTGAAGTACATGCGATGACTGAGATTTGAAGTTTATATTTCACAT